TCAGTCTCTTCGAGTAGCTGGGATAAGGCTGCCGCCCCATGCCCGGCTAAATTTTTTCAATATATATTAGTTGGCCAATTAATTTATTTCTATATTTTAGTAGAGACAGATTGTTGCTCTTGCTCAGGCTGGGTTTCTAATCCTGACCTTGAGCATACCGCCCGCCTCGGCTCCCGGGTGCTGGACATACAGGCATGAGCCCCCCTGGCCCAAAAATCAACCTTTTTTTAAAAAAAATTAGGTTTATTGAGGTGTAATTTGCATTCAATAAAATTTCCCCTTTAGAATGTACTGTCCTATGGTGGATTAACACGTGCAGGGCCAGGCGAGGTGGTACGCCTATAATCCTAGCCTCTGGGAGGCGAGGCGGAGGATCCTCGAGTCAGGAGTTCGAACCAGCCTGAGCAAGAGCGAGACCCCGTCTCTACTATAATAGAAGAAATATAATTGGCCAACTATATATATTAGAAATATTAGCCGGGCATGGTGGCGCATGCCTGTAGTCCCAGCTACTCGGTGAGGAGGCTTAGGCAGGAGGATCGCTTGAGCCCAGGAGTTGGAGGTTGCTGTGAGCGAGGCTGACGCCACGGCACTCACTCTAGCCTGGGCAACAGAGTGAGACTCTGTCTCAAAAAAGAAAGAAAGAAAGGAAACCGAAAAGAAAGAAAGAAAAGAAAGAAAAGAAAGAAAGAAAAAAAACGAAAGAAAAGAAAAATAGAGCCTGTCTTACTTTTTGGGAACAGTTATTTCGTTTGTATATGTAGAAACAAGATGACTTTTGTTTATTCTTGTATAATGATTAAAACACCGTTTTTTGCCTGTGTCTCGTTTTTTATTGGTACGTTTTTTTATGGTCACATTACGACGGAGGTCTGCTTTTTCTTTTTTTTTATTCGTGATCTTGAAACGTTTTTTTCTTTCTTTTAAGGCTTTAAAGTGAATGTCTTCCCCTTGGATAGGGAAGGCTACTTCTTCCTGAAATCAGTGTCTTGGAGCCACAGTCTGGTTTATTTGCATTTTGGTAATAAAAATGCCCGCCGTTAGATTTTTTTTGTTGCTGAAGGGCAAACGAGGTTTCTTTCTGATCCCACCTGTCTTATTTTTGGGAAACACGGTAGTATTTCGGCCTTTTATATATTAGGGTTAGAAAAATAGGAAACAAAATACTTATATAATAGTCGTTATTATTCTGCTATAATGAGATCTAAGAACACCGTATTTTTGCCTGTGTCTCGCTTTATTTGGTAGTTTTTATTTATGGCGTCACATTACGACGGAGGTCTGCCCCAAATCCTTCTCTACACGTGATCTGAAAACAGTTTTAGTCCTTATCTTTCTAAAGGCTAATATAGTGATTTTATTTTTTCTTATTTTTCCCCCTTGGGGACTTCTTTAGGAAAGGCTACTTCTTCCTGAAAATCAGCGACCAGCAGTTCTTCTCTGAGCCACAGCTGGTCAACGTTGAAGCATTTTCAACACAGGTAATAAAAATGCCACGCCGTTAGGAATTTCACAGGCCTGCTGATTTGGTTCTGAAGCACAAACCGAGGTTTCTTTCTGTTTTAGCAAAAAAAAATGATTGAGCTGAGTTAACCTTGGTTTCCTCGTGAAATGCCACTGGGGTAATTTTTAGTGTTTTTGGGTAATGACAGCAACAATAATTACTAACGCTTCTCTGTGGAACTCTTCTTCGTATTTCACAGGGGTAACTCAGTTAATCCTCATGCTCCCATCACAAGGAGTAATTATCCCCATTTACAGATGAGGAAACCACTGTGTTTCCCCGAAAATAAGACCCGACCATACAATAAGCCCCAGCAGGATGTCTGAGCACGTGCACAATAGAAGCCCCACCCCAAAATCAGCCCTAGTTGTGGGCGTGGCTATGAAAATCAGCCCTAGTTGTGGGCGTGGCTATGAAAATCAGCCCTGGGGTGGGCGTGGCCATGAAAATCAGCCCTGGGTGGGCGTGGCTATGAAAATCAGCCCTGGGGTGGGCGTGGCCATGAAAATCAGCCCTGGTGATGGGCATGGCTATGAAAATCAGCCCTAGTGATGGGCGTTGGCTATGAAAATCAGCCCTAGTGGTGGGCGTGGTTATGAAAATAAGCCCTGGTGGTGGGCGTGGCTATGAAAAATCAGTCCTGGTGATGGGCGTGGCTATGAAAATCAGCCCTGGTGATGGGTGTGGCTATGGAAATCAGCCCTAGTGACGGGCGTTGGCTATGAAAATCAGCCCTAGTGGTGGGCGTGGTTATGAAAATAAGCCCTGGTGGTGGGCGTGGCTATGAAAAATCAGCCCTAGTGATGGGCGTGGCTATGAAAATCAGCCCTAGTGGTGGGCGTGGTTATGAAAATAAGCCCTGGTGGTGGGCGTGGCTATGAAAAATCAGTCCTGGTGATGGGCGTGGCTATGAAAATCAGCCCTGGTGATGGGTGTGGCTATGGAAATCAGCCCTAGTGACGGGCGTTGGCTATGAAAATCAGCCCTAGTGGTGGGCGTGGTTATGAAAATAAGCCCTGGTGGTGGGCGTGGCTATGAAAAATCAGCCCTAGTGATGGGCGTGGCTATGAAAATCAGCCCTAGTGATGGGCGTGGCTATGAAAATCAGCCCTAGTGATGGGCGTGGCTGCCCAGCGCATCTGCACAACCCATGCGTGTCGTCGAGGAGCGGGAAAGAACACGAGCAGCCCTTCTCATCCGCCCCGTGAGAGCTCTAGTGCTCCACAGGAGAGATCGGGGCGGGTGGCTCTAAAGGAAACAGAGTCGCAAGACATTCAGGATGGGATTCGGGGTCTGGAGAGTGAGGATGATGTTCCAGAAGAAGACAACTTCACTGTATTTGTATCAGTGCAGATGGTTGTACTGTACTTAAAAAAAAAAATAACGCATCCCCCGAAAATGGTCTCTAGGGTGTCTTCTGGAGGAAAAATAAATATAAGACCCTGTCTTATTTTGGGGGAAACAGAGTAAGCCACAGGGAGGTTCAGCAGCTCATTGATGATTAATGCAGCTAATAAGTAGAGCCAAGATCTGTGCCCAGCAAGTCTGACTGCAGAGCCTGTGTCTAAACCATCACACGATGACACCTTGCTTTCTTTTTTTTTTTTTTTTGAAACAGAGTCTCACTCTGTTGCCCAGGCTAGAGTGAGTGCTGTGGGGTCAGCCTTGCTCACAGCAACCTCCGACTCCTGGGCTCAAGCGATCCTCCTGCCTCAGCCTCCCGAGTAGCTGGGACTACAGGCATGCGCCACCACGCCTGGCTAATTTATATATATATATATTTGTTGGCCAAATTAATTTCTTTCTATTTATAGTAGAGACGGGGGTCTCGCTCTTGCTCAGGCTGGTTTCGAACTCCTGACCTCGAGCGATCCTCCCGCCTCGGCCTCCCAGAGTGCTGGGATGACAGGCGGGAGCCACCGCGCCCGGCCTACACCTTGATTTCTTACACTGGCTCTGAAACTGCCTTTCGGAATAATTCGCATCTGCTCCTGTTGCTGTCACTTTGCCTAAATCTCAGGCAAACGAGTTTGATGCAGCTAAAAAATCTCTCTCTCTCGGGTGTGCGGAATTTTCCCCCAGAGCGTCTTGTAAAGCCTCCACTTAAACGAGGTGCCGTGCTGTCCCGTGTTGACGTCACGGCAGAGGCCGGGAAGCTTGGCGTGGTGGCCGCCCAAACTCATACCCCGGCGTCCGTTTCTGCCAAGCCTGCGTTCCTGCGTCCAGAACGCCCGCAGAGTGGTGGGCGCCCTTAGTGCCCGGCTTGAGGGCTTGAGCAGCTGACATGTGCAAAGGGAACCGAGGGAAGGGACAAGCACAGGTTGTGAAAAGCGAGAAATCGCTTGGGGTGCGTTCCTTAGAGGCTGGGGCTCCGGGTGTGTCCCTGGGCGTGGCCCGAGACAGTTCTGCAGGCAAACAATGTGACAACAAATCGCAGGAGCAGCCGCCCCAAATCCACAGATTATCACCTGAAAATCCGCATCCCTGCCTTCGATGAAAAACTTTACCCAGGCCGGGCGCGGAGGCTCACGCCTGTCATCCCAGCACTCTGAGAGGCCGAGGCGGGAGGATCGCTCGAGGTCAGGAGTTCAAGACCAGGCTGAGCAAGAGCGAGACCTCCCGTCTCTACTATAAATAGAAAGAAAATTAATTGGCCAACTAATATATATAGAGAGAGAAAAAAAAAATTAGCTGGGCATGGTGGCGCATGCCTGTATAGTCCCAGCTACTCAGGGGGAGGCTGAGGCAGGAGGATCGCCGGAGGCCAGGAGTTGGAGGTTGCTGTGAGCGAGGCTGACGCCACGGCACTCACGCTAGCCGGGGCAACAAAGCAAAGCAACAAAACAAAACCAAGACTCTGTCTCAAAAAAATAATTAGCTGGGCATGGTGGCGCATGCCTGTAGTCCCAGCTACTTGGGAGGCTGAGGCAGGAGGATGGCTTGAGCCCAGGAGTTGGAGGTTGCTGTGAGCGAGGCTGATGCCACGGCACTCACTCTATCCCGGGCAACAAAATGAGACTGTCTCAAAAAAAAAAATAAAGAAAAAAAATACAAGGCAGAGGCGGGACAGCCGGACGTCCAGCCCGCCGGGCGACTGTCTCCCTCCCTGCTGAGCGGCTCTCCCTGCTCTCCCCCGCCCCAGGCCCCCTACGTGCTGAGGAACGAGGTCCTCCGCGTGGGCCGCGGGGAGGCGGCGGCCATCACCACTCGGCTGCTGGACATCCGGGACGAGGACAACCCGCAGGACGTGGTGGTCCGGGTGCTGGACGCCCCCCGCCACGGCCAGCTACGCCACTCCCTGCGGCCGCCGCCCGCGGGCCCCGTGCGCCAGTTCCGGCTGGAGGAGCTGGCCCGGGGCCTCCTCCACTACGCCCACGACGGCTCGCAGGGCCACTCCGACGCGGCCGTCCTGCAGGCCGGGGACGGCCACTCCTTCCGGAACATTCTGCTGCAGGTGCAGACCCTGCCCCAGGTGAGGCGCCGTTCCCGGATCCTGGGGTCTCGGGTCCCCCTGCAGCTGGGCGAGGAGCTCGGTGGAGAATGCAATGAGGACACCCACGGGGGGAGGTCCGCGTCGTTCGTCCCTCGTCTGCTCAGCACAGCTTGTTAGCAAAGCGCTTATTGATGAGCAGGCAGGATGCAGACGGCAGGGCGAAGTTTTTGAGATTCCCGGTGTCCGACACCCAATGGGACTTTTTCTTGGGCGTCAGCCTCGGCCTCCCGGAGTGCTGGGACGACCGGCGTGAGCCTCCGCGCCCGGCTAATTTTTTCTATATATATTAGTTATATATATAATATGTATAAAACATATATATAATATATATATTAGCCAATTCATTTCTTTAGCTAATATATATATTTCTATAGCCAATATATATATGCTAGATATATAAATATATAATATATACATATAATATATACAATATATACATATATATTGTATATACAATATATATTGTATATATATATTGTATATACATATACATATTGTATATACACATACATATTGTATATATAATTGTATATACATATATATTGTATATATATTGTATATATACATTGTATATACAATATATACATATATTGTATATATACAATATGTATATATATTTATTGTATATATTATATATGTTGTATATATATACATTGTATATATTGTATATATAGTATATATTATATATACTATGTATATTGTATATAGATATATTGTATGTATTGTATGTATACTTTATATATAAATGTATATATATAAATGGCTATATATATAAATGTGTATATACATATACATTTCTATAGCCTATATACATATTAGCCAATTCATTTCTTTCTATTTATAGTAGAGACGGGATCTCGCTCTTGCTCAGGCTGGTCTAGAACTCCTGACCTCAAGCGATCCTCCGGCCTCAGCCTCCCAGAGTGCTGGGATGACAGGTGTGAGCCACCGCGCCCGGCCTATTTTTATTATTCTTTTTTTTCTTTTTTTTTTTTTTGAGACAGAGTCTCACTTTGTTGCCCAGGCTAGAGTGAGTGCCGTGGTGTCAGCCTCGCTCACAGCAACCTGAAACTCCTGGGCTCAAGCGATCCTCCTGCCTCAGCCTCCTCCTGAGTAGCTGGGACTACAGGCATGCGCCACCACGCCCTGCTAATTCTTTGTATATATATTAAGTGGCCAATCAATTTCCTTCTGTTTTTAGTAGAGACGGGGTCTCGCTCTTGCTCAGGCTGGTCTCGAACTCCTGACCTCGAGCAATCCTCCCTCCTCGGCCTCACAAGTAGCTGGGAGGGCAGGCGTGAGCCGCCGCGCCCGGCCTGGATGACTTGCGTGTTGTAGACTGATATTTCCTCCTTTTGCTCGGACCTCACTTGGCACTTCTTCCCGTTTCTAGAACGACAGAGGCCTGCGGCTGGTGGCTGACCCCATGGTGTGGGTTCCGGAAGGCGGGATGCTACAGATCACCAACCGGATCTTGCAGGCCGAGGCGCCCGGCGCCAGCGCCGAGGAAATCGTCTACAAGATCACGCAAGACCACCCTAAGTTTGGTAACTCTGTTCCCCTTTGGCACCATTTGTCTTTGCCTTCAGCAGTGTAGGGTTTGTTTTTTTTTTTTTTTTGAGACAAAGTCTTTACTCTGTCGCCCAGCTAGAGTGCCGTGGCGTCAGCCTCGCTCACAGCAACCTCCAACTCCTGGGCTCAAGCGATTCCTCCTGCCTCAGCCTCTCCGAGACTGAGACTACAGGCATGCGCCACCACGCCCCGCTAATTTTTTCTCTCTCATATATTATATTGCCCAATTAATTTCTTCTATTTTAGAGAGGACGGGGTCTCGCTCTTGCTCAGGCTGGTCTCGAACTCGATGACCCTTGAAGAGCAATCCGCCCGACTCGGCGTCCCAGAGTGGTTTAGGAGCTGACAGGCGCTGAGCGCCGGCCCGCTGCGGCCTAAGGTTTGCTTTTGTACAAGGCCACGCAGCAGGGTCGTGATTCTGGTGAACTGAACTTTCCGATTCCGTGCACGCCCCCTTCCATAAAAGCAGAGTGATCATGACACACTGTACGTGTTTACTGGGCAGCGTACCAAGTCTTATAAACATGTTGCGTGTAACGACTAAAATTTACATTTCAAAACTCCTTCTTCAGGCCGGGCGCGGTGGCTCACGCCTGTCATCCCAGCACAGCCTCGGTGACTCCGTCTCTCGGTCCGGAGGCCCTGCAGATTCCGGCTCTAACACTAGCACTCTGGGACGAGCGGGCGTGATGCTCGAGGTCAGGAGTTATGAGACCAGCCTGAGCAAGGCAATACCCGTCTCTACCATAAATAGAAAGAAATTAATTGGCCAACTAAAAATATATACGGAAAAAAATCAGCCACGCATGGTGGCGCATGCCTGTAGTCCCGCTACTCGGAGGAGGCTGACAGGAGGATCCGTTGAACCAGGAGTTGGAGTTGCTGTTGAGCGAGCTGACGCCACGGCATTCACTCTAGCCCGGGCGACAGAGCGAGACTCTGTCTCAAAAAAAAAAAAAAAAAGTTGGGAAAGGAGGATGAGAGTCTGACTTGGTTTCCCCAGTGACGCTCCCCCACTCACTGTGTGGCTTGCGCCCCCCCAGGGGAGCTGGTCTCCTTGCGGACATGCCGCGGACAGCCCCGCGGCCGAGGACGGAGGGCAGCACCTGCCGGACGGGAAGGACGGCCACGCTGTGAGCTCCTTCACGCAGCGGGACGTGGACGAGGGCCTCCTCTGGTACTGCACTCGGGGGCCCGCCAGGGGCACTCCTCGGCTCCAGTACCTGGGCTCCCTGCCTCTCTGACCCCCTGCAAACTGTCACGCCCACTACAGACGACCGCGAGCCGGGCGGCGGCTCACCCCTGTCATCCCAGCACTCTGTGGAGGCCGAGGCGGAGGAACGCTCAAAGTCAGGAGTTCCGAGGCCAGCCTGAGCAAGAGCGAGACCCCCGTCTTCTACTATAAATAAAAGAAATTATTGGCCAACTAAAAAATTATAATATATATATATATATACGAAAAATTAGCCGGGCGTGGTGGCGCACCGCCTGTAGTCCCAGCTACTCGGGAGGAGGCTGAGGCAGGGCGTCGCAGCCCAGGAGTCGAGGCTGCTGTGAGCGAGGCTGACGCCACGGCACTCACTCTAGCCTGGACCACGAGGTGACTAGTCTCAAAAAAGAATAAATTAAAAAAATTAATAAATAAGCTATGGAGTCGCTGATGACGTAAGGTCCAGAGCGTTCAGATTTTCTTCAAAAATAATGAAAATCGTATAGGGAGAGAAAAAATCAGATCTTAGTGAATGTTCTTGGGACACGTACTATCCTAAAAATCTTAGACTTGCAGCCGGACTCCGAGAGTTCAGAGGTCAGTTCTGCCGCTTCCTCGCTGTGCAACTTTGGGCAAATTTTTTTTTTAAATATATTTTATTGTTTTTAGTAGAGACAGGGTCTCGCTTTCTCAGCTGGTCTCGAACTCCTGACCTCGAGCGAGCTCTCCGCCTGGGCCTCCCAGAGTGCCGGGATGACAGCGTGAGCCCCGCGCCGCCCACACTTCGGCAGATTACTTGGGAAACCCTTGTGCTTATTTTCTCTGTCTGTGAAACAGGCTTATCGTAAAGATTTGGATGAGCTGTATAGAAGTGTTTATAACCGCCCACTACGTGTAAGTACGGCGTTGGATTTGTCGTTATACCATTTTAATAAAATGGTCAAATACTGTGGGGGAGCCGTAATTGAAGAGCAAGAATTGCGCCTGGGTGCCTTCTCTGGCCATTGTGGATATAATGGAAATTGATCATAAAAAGCAAACGAAAAGTTCAGACCGCTTGAGATGCTAAAATGTCTCCCAGGTAATTTACTTTGAAATTCCTTGGAGGAAATCAAAGCACACAAAGCGTAAGAAATATGGGTGGGAAGAAGAACTTATCGCATAATCATGCGGACAAAATCGTATTCAGAAAAAAAAACAAAAGAAAAAACGGGTGCCTTGACGCTCTGTGTGATGCTCAAGAAAGCATAAAAACAACATCCTAAACATTTAGCTCGGAAGCCGAGCACCCGAGGGAGACGTAAGGAAGAGCAAAGGGAGAATTAGCAGAGACAAGCCGAAGAATCGGTTCATTAAAAAAATGGATAGAATGACAAAGGAGCGGTTTAGACCGCTGAGAACTAGACAAACCCTGGCGAGCACCATCCGGAAATAAAAGAATTAGACGGGAACGTAAAGAAACGAGGAATGTGAATGAAGAAAGGCCTTTGAGCGGGTACGGAGAAAAAAGCAGGGTCCGACGTGGCAGAGAAGATATGTAGTTCATGGTGATCGGCCAGATCCTTTGTCAGGAACCAGTTGGGCTAAAGTGGCGTCGACAGCTCAGCTCGCTAAAATTTATCGCCCGTGCTTCCGGCCGGCCTGTGCTGCTCATTACCCGGCTTGATTTATGGTGAGAAACAGGGGCTTTTCCAGAGAGCCGGTTCCTTGCAGAAAATATATAATTTATATATATATATAAGCTGGGAACCATTAAAACAAGATTATCCTGAAGGCGTTGACAGTCCATGAGTGAGCAAACAGTCGGCGCCTTTGCCCAGGTTAACTTTTGATTTTGCACTGGGCACTGCAGGATCCTCCAGAGAGTGAGTCAGGATGGAAAGCAAAGTTGTCAATTGAAAGAGGTCACCTCAGGGGACTGAGAGTCTTCTGGATTCCTAGGGGTAGGATGGGGAACATTATCAATATAAAACATCAGCGGGGCGCCGGTGGCTCACGCTGTCATCCTAAGCCCTCTGGCCGAGGCGGCGAGGATCGCGGTCGAGGTCGGGATTGAGACCACGCCTTGAGCAAGAGCGAGACCCTCATTCCTTACATAAATAGATGAATTAGGCCAACTAATATATATAAGAAATAAGTCACCGGAGCTGGGGTGCATGCCTGTAGTCCCCAGGTACGCGCGGAGGAGCTGAGGCGAGAGATCGCTTGACCCAGGAGTGTGAGTTGCTGTGAGGAGGCTGAACGCCAGCGGCACTCCCCTACCAGGGCGACAGAGCGAGACTCTGTCTCAATACAAAAAAAAATCACAAAACCGTGTCGGGTGGAGGAACGCCGCCGTGGGGACTGAAATGGGCACAGAGTGGAAGCAGAGCCCACATGCCTCCGCCGAGAGAAGCGAGGACCGACCCGGGGTGGACCTCTTCCTTCACAGGTTCCAGCGCCGGGGACGGGAGGAGCGACTGGAGAGCGGACGTTCAACATCGCCGTCCTGCCCCGGACGCCCGGCAGCTCGGAGCTCTCCGCGGAGACGTCCCTGCACATGACTGGTGAGTTGGGGGCAGCGCGGGTTCCCGGCAGGAGGGACGAGGCTCTGCTGCGGCCGGGGCCGTGGGTGGCGGTCCCCTGGGGCCCACACGCGCCCTGGGGCCCCCACCGCCGGCGACATGCGGACGAGTCCTCCCTCTCCTTGAGAAAGAAAACCTCGTCACCCGCACTGCCGGGAGGCCGAGGCGGGGAGGACTTGCTCGAGGTCAGGAAGTTCGAGGCCAGCCTGAGCAAGAGGGAGACCCCCGTCAGGCTCTTACTATAAATATGAAAGAAATTAGCGGGACCAACTACAAAAATATATATATAAAAAAATTAGCCGGTGCGTGTGCTCAGCCTGTCACCCATCACTGCTATGAGGCCGAGGGTGGGAGGATGCTCAAGTTCAGGAGTTCGTAAAACACCCTGCAGCAAGAGTGGACTCCTTGTTACTAAAAATACAAGAAATCAATGCCAAGTAAAAATATATATATGAAAAAAATTGGCCGGGCGAGGTGGCTCACGCCTGTCATCCCAGCAG